CAGTTGGAAGGAGGCATGAAGATGATGACACAAGAAGCCAAAAAACGAGCAGTCAAGTCAGGAGCGCTGGTGGATGGGGGGCAATGTGAAGGAGGGACAGGCAGAGTTTGAAGGCACTGACAAGAAGCTCTAATGTGATGCAATAGCAGAGGTGGAGCCAATAAAAGAAGGGAGTGACATGATCAGATGGTCATGCCGGGAAGATGCATTTAGGGGCTGCATTTGGAATGGACTGAAGGGGACAAATCAAATACAACCCTGTGGGTTATGTCTCCAGGGTTGGGTTGAGGCACAGTGGTGATATGAAGAAGCTAATGTGCCTTCCGTCTATGCTGTTCCTGATCTGTAAGGGCCTGATCCAAAGTCAGTTGAAGTAAATTGAAAATCTGTTGATTTGATTGAGCTTTGGATCAGGTTCTAGATGAAATAAGGATTTCAGTCCCTGGGGCCATCAAGCCAGGACCTTCCACAAGTAATAAATCCACATGAAAACTCCAAGTACACAAAACCTGAGAAATCCCTCTCAATGATACATGATTGTTAGGGCAGTAGACTTGTCAAGACACATTTTGGAAAAAGTTATCGTTGGAACAAAGGCAAATGTATTTTGTTTGCAGAACCACCCCTCTAAGTCACACTGTTTGGTTCAGATAGTACCAACGATCGCTAGGGTCTCCTAACATCTACTGGCCCAATCCTCCATCTCAAAGGCTCAGACTAGTTACTTGAATTCTTCAGAAAAGTTGTCAAGATTTTGGAACCCCCTAATTCCTCCTCACTTTTCCTTTACCTCCTTGTCCACATAATACAATTTGGAGGGTGAAATACCCAGTATGCTTCTTGCTTTGCTACAACTGCTGTGCCTTCGATTGATGGTTATCACCCTTTGTGATGGGCTTAATCCCCATCACCTGTAAAGCAAGGGAAATAACCTAATTAATTATGCTTCACACATGGGAGGTGATTATCTAATTGCCTCCTGGCCAAGGCTAGGCTGTATAAGATGTTGAGGGAGGGACTGAAGAAGAGACAGGTCCCTGGGGGAGAAGGTCCTAGACTAGCGCTTAACCGATAGGATACAACAAGGGAACTGTACTGAAGCCCAAGAGGAGCAGAAGGGCTATTAACTTAAAGACTCGTTTGAATCTTTATTTGGACTTGTTCATGCTATCCCAGGAAGGGCTTAGACTTTTATGTGACTTGACGAGAAGGCCCATGGAACACCTGGGGGGGGAGAAGATGCAGACCGAGAAAAGCTATTGCTGGCCAAAGAACTGGCCACTGGTGGTGTGCGCAAGAGGCGAAGTCCCATGCAGTGCTGCATGCTCAGGTGTGAAGGGGCACCCTAGAGGCAAGGGTGCACATTTACATCCTCCTCTGTGCTTTTTGGTTAAGGGGCAACATTGCCAATTACCTCTGTTTTCCCTACTTGAACAATTGAACTTATCAGCCTAAGACACAGTCTATTCTATACAGCGTCCTATCCCATCTTCATCATCATGCAATAAGTTACATGAATAACTGTGTCATACCAGAGTACAAACCTGACCAATAAGTAGCTGTGTCACCCCTGCCCTCTGACCTGGGGTGCCCTTGACAATGCTTTGCTGCAGTCACTTCCAGCCTGGACTGCTCACAAACAGCCTCCAGCCTGCAAGTTACTCCTAGCTATGCCTCTGTATGTTCTGCAGCCAGCCAGCCACACCTTGACTCTTACTAGCCTTGGTAATACTGAAGGGGACCCAACACACTCCCAGTCTTAAATTTTCCCCAAGAAATGTATGTCCTGTACTGCCCAGTCCTCTCTAGGGCAATACAAGTGTCTATTAAGTCCATTATTTCTTTAATAGAAATAATATGCACAACACTTGCCACCCAAATGGAGTTTCCCAAATACTTTGATTTAAACACACTGGATTAGATAAGGCAAGTTTATTAACTACAGAAAGAGATTTTTAAGGGAGTACAAGAACCGAGGCATGAAAGTCAGAAATGGTTAGAAGGAAATAAAGTTAAAATGCTATTAGTGCCTAACTTAAACTGTATCAGATTTAAGCAAAATTTCTCACCATATGTGTTCAGCAGTCTTACTGATCAAACCCTATAGATCAGGACCTCTTCTCCCAGAATCCAATGAAGTCTTCCTTTGTTGCTTCAGATGTAGAGAATAATATGGGCAGAGGGAGAGAGATGGGTGCCTTAGGGTGTTTGTCCCTCCTTTTTATAGTTTCCATGCCCCTCCTGGGTACCAGGAGACAAAAAGTCTATGGGGAAGGATGTTCCCTGCTGCTTTTTCCTCACCGGGTTTCCTTTCCTGCTTGATGACTCTGTTTACTGCTTAAATGCAAATCAAGCAGAGCACACATATCTTTGTTTGAGACAGACCTGTCTGCCAACTCCTGCTTGGTTAGGCCTGTGGTTTGGAGCATATGTTAATATCATCATACAGGGAAATCTAATCTTAACATACAATACCACACATTTTATCAGGATGATACTGATCAGTAAACTACAAATTTTCAAATGATACATACATACATGGCATACTTTGTACAAAGATTATTACAATAGTGTGTAAGTTGTGAATACGGGGTACATTCTCTCACACTAACATCTGTCACATGTGGCTCATTCTCACTCATCCTAGCCCCAGGGGGGAAATTGGGTATGCAATGTAAGTTGTTTTTATTTTGGTTGGACGAGTCTTGGGGGGATTTGTGTGGGTTTTTATAAATCTGCGTGCTCCTCTGTGATCTGTTGAGCCAACCCCTGCTTTCCCACTCCATAATCAAAAATCAGACACAAAACACCTGTCTTTTCACATTAATTTTCACAAACAACGTTGTTAGTCTGTCACAAGATCCAGGGAAATTCCACTTCACCATGAAAGTTTTTAAAAAACTGAAAGATTTAAGGCAAATGCATTAACTTCATCCTGCAGCCTTTTAACATTTGGCTCTGAAATCACTCTTTATGAAGAGGGCTTATCAGCTTTGAACTTGGAGAGTCAGTCAGTTAGGAGATAAGCAGAGCAAGTTCATTATCCCATCGGAGCAGTAACCTAGAAATGGTTAATTAAACCCAACGAATAAAGTCTATTTCCTCACCATCAAAATTTACTCTGGGCCACAACACTACGGGACCTTCCTCAAATTAAATTGGGTTAAGGACAGGAAACTGCATCTTCTAAACTTTAGAAATAGATCTTAAACATGTAAACATAAGATACTATGCCCCTATCTTTTGAGTAACATTTATATTATCTAAAATAAACAGTCTTTCTGAAATTGCTCTGTAATTGACATCTGACACAGTCCACATTGCAACACATATGATAAGTGCAGTAAACAGTCGAAATTATGCTTCCTTATGCTCTGAGAAACACTCATATTTCCTTCAACAGATAAACTTTATTTTGTTGCTGTGCAACCGTCAGGCAACATAATACACTCGGCAGTAAATACGAGTAAGAATTTTACAACTGAAGGGTAGCGTGTGGCCTTTTGTTTCCCCCCTTCCCCCACCCTTTGAGTTCAAGTCCCAACTTATGTTCATGCTGTAATATTCCATCATTTTATTCTAAAACTTTTTGCAAACTCAAGCTTTCGGCAAAAAATGACCCAATGAGTGAAGCTCAATCCGGGGTATTTCAAATAGTGCATAAGGGAAGTTGGGGAAGGAGGATCGGGGGGATGAAGATGCATCAGTCCTATGTGATTGATGGGAGATAAATGGCTATGGGTCTGAGCCTACACCCATTTATATCAATGGCAAAATGCCCCAGGACTTCAATGAATGCAGAACAATGGGATAGAGCCCTACCGCCTGTTTAAAAAAAAAACATATCACTAGATTTCTAGGGCAGGCTTTTCCAAAGCATTCTGCACTGATTTACCTTCGCTCCAACTGACGATGCCATTGACTTCAAAGGGAGTGGAGTTAGGCCAACAGCGATCGCTTTAGAAAACTCTAGCCCTGGTATTTCGTGTTCACTTGAGAGGTGAGATATCAAGAGCAATCTTGGTTTTAGGCCGAAGGAGACTACTAGATTCTTAACTTGACTGCCTGTATGGATTGGGGGAGGTCACTTAACACTGCTGTGCCCATTCCCATATTTTGTACCCAGGCAAAATTCCCATTCCCGTCTCCTGAGAAGTCTAGTTTGCTCAAGGCATATAGGACCAAGTTCCTTGTCTTAGTTTCCTCATGCCAAACAGTGTCCATAATACTTATGGCCCTGCCTCAGACAGTGTTAGATCTAAGGGCTATCAATCCTTCAAGTACACAAGTAGTTCTTATTTGATTGAAATACACACGTAAGTAAAGCTTTGGAAGGTCAAGCCATAGAATCATAGAATCATAGAATATCAGGGTTGGAAGGGACCTCAGGAGGTCATCTAGTCCAACTCCCTACTCAAAGCAGGACCAATCCCCAACTAAATCATCCCAGCCAGGGCTTTGTCAAGCCTGACCTTAAAAACCTCTAAGGATGGAGATTCCACCACCTTCCTAGGAAACCCATTCCAGTGCTTCACCACCCTCCTAGTGAAAAAGTTTTTCCTAATATCCAGCCTAAACCTTCCCCACTGCAACTAGAGACCATTACTCCTTGTTCTGTTATCTGCTACCACTGAGAACAGTCTAGATCCATCCTCTTTGGAATCACCTTTCAGGTAGTTGAAAGCAGCTATCAAATCCCCCCTCATTCTTCTCTTCTGCAGACTAAATAATCCCAGTTCCCTCAGCCTCTCCTCATAAGTCATGTGCTCCAGCCCCCTAATAATTTTTGTTGCCCTCCGCTGGACTCTTTCTAATTTTTCCACATCCTTCTTGTAGTGTGGGGCCCAAAACTGAACACACTACTCCAGATGAGGCCTCACCAATGCCGAATAGAGGGGAATGATCACGTCCCTTGATCTGCTGGCAATGCTCCTACTTATACAGCCCAAAATGCTGTTAGGCTTCTTGGCAACAAGGGCACGCTGTTGACTTATATCCAGCTTCTCGTCCACTGTAACACCTAGGTCCTTTTCTGCAGAACTGCTTCCTACCCACTTGGTCCCTAGTCTGTGGCGGTGCATGGGAATCTTCCGTCCTAAGTATAGGACTCTGCACTTGTCCATAAATAGCTATGGCCCTCACGTGAACAATGGGACTAGTCATTTGAAAAAGGACTACTTATGTAAGCAAGGGTTGGAAGTATTAGCCTCTTGGGGACCCAATCCAAAGGCCATTAAAGTCAACAGGAGTATTTTCATTTACTTCAATAAAGTCCTTGATAAGTCAAATCCTGCTCTCCTTACTCGCGCAAGGAGCCACATTGAGCTTAATGGGACTTGGGTCAATGGAATGTGATTTGTCCCAACGGTTGCAGAGTACCATTTATATGCCTATATGAAATATCAGCCAATTTATGGCTACTAGGCTGGAGCACTGGCATATTATCTAAGCACTCTCCTCCTGCTTTCTCTGAGGTGTAAAAATTCCCAGTACACAACCTTGAGGACCTCCAGCAAAATGAATACTTGTCAGCGCTAATATTCCTAAATTAAATATCAAGTCAAAAAACCAGAAACGCATGTCCAGGCCTTCTTTATACATCATCAATGGAAATAAGAGACACACATTCAATTTTACTTACTTTCTTAGCAGTTTACATATTACCTTTCTGCATGTCAGTTTCCCCATCTGTAGAATAATGGATAGATACCCTCCTCGTGTGGATAGATACCTTTAAGATGTGTGGCTGACATCATACTCAGCACTTACTGCATCATTACTATTATTTCGTATTTATACTTCAGGGAAGTGAAATTTGTCCAAGAAATCATCTAAACCAATGTTAATTTTTTTAAAGTAAAAATATAGCAGAACTCCTGCTGGTGTTCAAGTCACTCGGACTACATGGAATTCTACCATCTGAGGATCTGGCTTATGGTCGGTATTCATATGTTATTATAATTTAAGTGCAAAGAGATTTGTGTCAGTTAAGACTGTGAACCTCCAAACTCCGGATTGGCTGTACAATCCCTTGCATCTCAAAAGCCCCCAAGATACTTACACAGCTCCCAGCCTACACTGTTTACACAGTCATGTAGTTGCTAGGGGAAACGATGCCATGTTGATACGAAAGGAATATTTAATCTGGACAATCTGAAGTGTAGCTTCTATAAACAGTGAACAAGAGGTATCCTTTAAACTTTGATATTTTGGTAGTTGTTTGCTATCAAAACATTTCTGTTTATAGTTTCGTTTTAACAGCTAAGCTACTTCCAGACATGCATGTTAACATCTGAGAAAAGTTCTTCGCATCTGGACACATATTGAAAAGTCAGCAGTTTCTGGTTAGCTGGACAACAACTACAATTGTGTGCACCGGGAGAGAATTAGGGCCCACTCTTGCCACCCTTATTCGCACCAGGGGCCAGATTTTCACAAGTGCTCTGCTCCTTTTAAGGAGCTAGTGTGGGGTGCTGAGCACTGAGGAAAACCTGGCCCATGTATTTCTTTCAGAAGTAGCCCCCTATAAACCAATAGGGCTACTCTCCTAAGAAAGGGTTTCATGACGGGGCCCAAACAGAACAAGCTGGCCACAGTGAATAGGGTGGCTTTGTCCAGAGCCACACCTTTTTTGTGCTAAATCTTGGACGCAGCAGGGGAAGTTCTTCGTACCAATGTCGTGTCAATCCCTTTCACGCTCCGGCATCCTGGGAGAGAAATTACATACGTATAATGTGAATATACTTCGAAGAATAATCAGCATTATTCAGGAACTGGTCTTCCAGCGAAAGATGACCCTTGACCCCCACTCCCCCGGGCGGCCCTGGCAAGTAGTGAGCTTGCTTTCATGGTCCACTTGAAGGAGGAATTTGGGAGAACAAAGCTGTCGGCCACCCCTGAAGATGTAGAGTGGGAAAAGGGTCCAACCTTCTTCCCTCTGATCATGCTAGAGTTGGAGGAGCCTCCAGGCCAGAAGGAGCCCCCAAAGAAAGCATCTACAAAGAAACAGAGCAGGGGCCCGCTGGGAGGAGAGCGTGTTCTGAAGAAGCGGGGCCCTGCATATGGTTTCAAGCAGAAACTATGGGAGATGTAGCATTTTCTGCCAAGTTCCCCTTTGAACCTGAAACTCGGGGTAAAAATGCATCAGCCCAAACCAAAGCCCTGGATCTAACCACCACAGAACTGGGAGCCAGCTCTGAGTTTCATCAGGGTCCCATATCTCGATACTGGGCCAAACTGGTCCCCCCACACTAACCCCCTCTGCACTAGGGGGAGGGAGGGATTTCAAAATGTAGATCAGGATCCAAACGTTGCCGCTCAAGCCCATCGCTGGAAAAAAAAAAAAAAAAGAGACCCACATTTGCTGATGGCTCCTGCAAACTGAACCGGGCGACTGTCAGATGGCTCTACTCCTCACTAGCACTAGACGCATTAGAGATCACTTGGTGCTTTTTGCAAGTACAGAGGCATGAACCCCAATATTCTGGCCAAATTCCCATTTCCACTTTCAATATTCATTCTACTTCAGTCTCCCCTTGCTGTTCCAATAGGATATGGGATGCTGCTTCCCATCCTACCCCCAACTGTTGTGTAGTGTTAAACATTGTATCTTCCATCCTAGAAGGAGCTGGGTGGGGGGGGGCGGAAGTAATACCATAGGACGTAATCGTCCCCATTCCTCTTATAAAAATGTCTTAGAGAAATTAAACATTCTCTATGGTTTTTTAACCATTTTATATCAATTAATAGAAAATGTATCTGTGTTATAGAATCATAGAAGTGTAGGACTGGAAGGGACCTCAATAGGTCAGCTTGTCCAGTCCCCTGCACTCAAGGCAGGACTACGTAATAACTAGACCATTCTTGACAGGTGTTTGTCTAACCTCCTCTTAAAAACCTCCAATGATGGAGATTCCACAACCGCCGTAGGCAATTTATTCCAGTGCTTAACCACCCTGACAGTTAGGAAGTTTTTCCTAATGTCCAACCTAAACCGTCCTTCCTGCAATTTAAGCCCATTGCTTCTCGTGCTAGCCTCAAAGGTTAACAAGAACAATTTTTCTCCCTCCTCCTTGTACCAACCTTTTATATACTTGAAAATTGTTATCGTGTCCCCACTCAGTCTTCACTTTCCAGACTAAACAAACCCATTTTTTTCAATTTTCCCTCATAGGTCATGTTTTCTAGACCTTTAGTCATTTTTGTTGCTCGTCTCTGGACTTTCTCCAATTTGTCCTCATCTTTCCTGAAATGTGGTGCCCAGAACTGGACATAATACTCCAGCTGAAGCCTAATCAACATGGAGTAGAGCGGAAGAATTACTTCTGGTGTCTTGCTTGCAACACTCCTGCTAATACATCCCAGAATGATGTTTGCTTTTTTTGCAACAGTGTTACACTGTTCACTCATATGTAGTTTGTGATCCACCATGACCCCCAGATCCCTTTCCACAGTGCTCCTTCCTAGGCAGTCATTTCCCATTTTGTATGTGTCCAATTGATTGTTCCTTCCAAAGTGGCATACTTCGCATTTGTCCTCATTGAATTTCCCCCTGTTTACTTCAGACCATTTCTCTAGTTTGTCCAGATCATTTTGAATGTTAAGCCTATCCTCAAAAGCACTTGCAACCCCTCCCAGCTTGGTATCGTCCGCAATCTTTAGAAGTCTGTACTCTATGCCATTATCTAAATCAATTATGGAGATATTGAACAGAACTGGTCCTAGGATTGATACCTGTGGGACCCCACTCGATATGCCCTTCTAGCTTGACTGTGAACCAGTGATGACTACTCTCTGGGAACAGTTTTCCAACCAGTTATGCACCCACCTTATGGTAGTTCCACCTAGGCTGTATTTCCCTAGTTTGTTTATGAGAAGGTCATGCAAGACAGTATCAAAAAAGCCTTACTAAAGTCAAGATATATCACAATTACTGCTTACCCCCATCCACAAGGTTTGTTACCCTTTCAAAGGGTACGTCTTCACTACCCACCGGATCGGGTAGAAAGCTATTAGGTTGGTTTAATGGGACTTGTTCTTGACAAATCCATGCTGATTGTTACTTATCACCTTATTATCTTCTAGGTGTTTGCAAATTCATTGCTTGATTATTTGCTCTATTATCTTACCGGATGCTGAAGTTAAGCTAACTGGTCTGTAATTCCCCGGGTTGTCCTTATTTCCCTTTTTATAGATGAGCACTATATTTGCCCTTTTTCAGTCTTCTGGAATCTCTCCCGTCTTCCATGACTCCTCAAAGATAATCACTAATGGCTCAGATATCTCCTGAGTCAGCTCCTTGAGTATTCTAGGATGTATTTCATCAGGCCCTGCCGAGTTGAAGACATCTAACTAAGTTGTTCTTTCCCTATTTCAGCTTCAGATCCTACCTCATTTTCACTGATATTCACTGTGTTAGATGTCCAATCACTACTAACCTTTTCGGTGAAAACTGAAACAAAGAAGTCACTTACCACTTCTGCCATTTCCAAATTTTCTGTTATTGTCTTCCCCTGTTGTCTAGATTCTAATGTATTTGTAGAATGTTTTCTTGTTACCCCTTATGTCTCTAGCTAATTTCATCTTGGTTTGTGCGCTGGCCTTTATAATTTTGTCCCTACACGCTTGTGTTGTTTGTTTATATTCATCTTTTGTAATTCGACCTAGTTTCCACTTTTTGTAGGACTCTTTTTTTGAGTTTTGGATCATTGAAGATCTCCAGGTTAAGCCAGAGTGATCGCTTGCCATACTTCCTATCTTTCCTTTCTTATGGAGGATGGCTTGAGGAACCTTTAGAAAGATCATTCTCAATCAAAGAGCCATTTCTGTAGAACCCTGTTCAGTTTCTATAACCTTGGGGTTTTTTTCAATCCTATAAGACTTTTCCATAAGGGCAATCTCAGCACAGCCATGCATATGGGTGGCGAAGGAGGCAGAAAGAGTACTGACTGTCCCAGAGCAATTCTGCTTGCTGAGACCAGGATGACTTAGGGCAGCCAGAGGGTCTTTAAAAAGAGGCACTGTGAATCTAGCCATGGGTCTGACCATGCCCCCAAACCAGCAGGTGCTGTCCACTTCCTGGGGCCCATGATGCCCGAACTGGGCCAGGTATGGAATACCTCCCATGTTACACCACTGAACAAGAGAGTCTGCGTATCGTTTCCCTCCACTGTCTCTCACATGGAAACAAAGGGACGGATTTCGTCCACAGCTGGGGATCCTTTGAGATGAAAGGTGTTATACAAATGTGAGACAGCGGCTGGGTCTATGCTGCAATCAGCAGGGTGAGCTCAGCTGTTCTCAGTGGTGGCAGATGACAGAACAAGGAGCAATGGTCTCAAGTTGCAGTGGGGGAGGTCTAGGTTGGATATTAGGAAACACTATTTCACTAGGAGGGTGGTGAAGCACTGGAATGCGTTACCTAGGGAGGTGGTGGAGTCTCCTTCCTTGGAGGTTTTTAAGGCCCGGCTTGACAAAGCCCTGGCTGGGATGATTTAGTTGGGAATTGGTCCTGCTTTGAGCAGGGGGTTGGACTAGATGACCTCCTGAGGTCCCTTCCAACCCTGATATTCTATGATTCTATGCTAGCTTTAATCTAGCTAGTGCCGCTAAAAACAGCCATGAATACATGGTGCCACGGATCCCCAGCACAGGTTACCTCCCTGACTGGGTACCCAAGTGGGTTTGTACAGCCTGCACTGAAGACTGCGCTGCTACATCTTCACAGCTATTTTAGCCTCACTCACTAGATTAAATCTAGCACAGGTTGGTCTAGCTGAGCTTCAAATAATACTTTCAATTACAGCATACAGGGAAGGATTGTGACTATGGAAAGGAAGCTGGTGTCTCACCAGAAAGTGCCATTGCTAGCTGGAATTCTTCCTTCAGCATCTGGAGAACTTCTTTTGCCCCTTCTTCACCCTAATAGATTGGAAGACAATATATTGTACTACAACGTATATATGCACCAGGGGGCTGAATTAAGGTTTTATGGACAATCTTAATTTTGGCATTTCATAAATTTCACAGGCTTGAGTTTGCACCCATAACAGTCCCTGGTCATATTTTTTGAATGTTAGTGCATGTCTAAAAGGCTAGTCTAATAGTCAAAATTTGGACTGCAGCCTTTGATGAATTACCTGATAAGCCAACCCCCAGATGATAGGTCTTCCAATGAACACTGCTGTGGCACCAAGAGCTAATGCCTTGAGAACATCCGTGCCTTTTCTCACTCCGCCATCCAGGAACACCTCTACCTTCCCTTCCACAGCCTCAACAATTTCCGGCAAGACATCAATCTAGGAAAGCAAGAACAGGACAGTAGCAATTCAGTCACTTGTGACACTACTGAATTTTTAAGCCAACTGCCACATGTAGGAACCAGTCTTTAATGAAGATAAGCATGAATTGTGTGCCTAATGTATGTGCACAAATAATGCAGTTGTGTGTACAAATATGGACGTGACTAATCATTCTAGTAAGCAGAGGTTAGTACTGATCCAGTGCAGTGCTAGGGGACACTTTGTTGGAGATGCTGTCTTTCTCGTGACATATAAAAGCAAAATCCTGGTTAGGGCTGTATGCACCTTTCATGAAACCTAGAACCAAATTAAACTCATTTTTCTCTTAGCACAGTGCAGTATGAGATGTACCAAGTCCAGTGACCAGCCATGATGAACCTGATACACCAGACCTGCAGAAGAGCTCTGTGCAAGTTCGAAAGCTTGTCTTTCTCACCAACAGAAGATGGTCCAATAAAAGATATTATCTCCCCCACCTTGTCTCCCTAATTGTGCTAGTAGACATGCATAAAGATCCTGTTTTACATGCACAATCACAATGGCTACATACGCAAGTTTCCTGTGCATGATATCATTTGTGTGTGTTATGGCCCATCAGAGATTGGGAGCCCATTGTGCCAGGCTCTGTACATACACATAGCAAGAGAGAGCCCTTGCCCTGAAGAATTTACTATTAAAGTTGGTAGAAAATTTTCCATCAAAGCATTTTTTCCAGTGAAAATGGCTTTTTCAGTGAACACATTTTTGTGATTGATTTTCAATTTTGGAAGGAAAATGTCGGCATTCACTGACAACCAAAACATTTTCAGTCTTTCAACTAAAACCTGAAATAATACCATTTTTAAAAATGGTTTTGTCTCTTTTTTTTTTTTTTGCGGGGGTGATGGAGAGAGAGAGAATAATTCACTTTCCAGCCAACTCAACTTACTATCGAACTAGCCACGGGAAAGGATGGAAAAAAGAAAGGGGGGTTATTCCTATTTTACAAACAGGGAACCGAGGCAGAGCCAGATTAAGCCATGGTCACACAAGATGCCTCGAGTCCCAGACTACTACCGTAACTGCAGGACCACTCTTCCTGTCATGCCTAACTTTTTACTATCTCTGCAAAGCAGGAGAGACATTAGATGAGAAGCAAAGTGCTAAAGAGGCTGACAACATCATGTTCTAGGAAGGCAAGCTAGGCTCCAAATTCATCCCTTTTCAAACAGGGATGTAATTAATTTCCCTTTTAAAGAATCAAAATATCACCCTCTTTCTACATCCAAGCAAACGGCACCACCATACAAGGGCTGTAATTACTAAAGTAAAATGTTTTAATTATGGTTTGCATCAATTTCCCCAATGTGTAATTAGGCATTAGGGAATATTAACCAGTTTGGGTTCAACTCAGATTTCAAAAACCCATCAAATTAAAACATGTGATTATGATGCAGAAATAGAAACACTTTATGATCTGGTACAAATATATATTATGAAAAATGTATTATAAAATATACCCCACTGTTGCAATATGAAATCCAGTGAACAGACCAGAATATTCAAAATACATAACTTAACGGTTTCTTCTCCTTCAAGCTAACATTACAAGCAAATAATTTGTAACAAGTACATTTTTCAGTTCAATTTTTCCTCTATTTCAGTTGGCAAAATGTGAGTAGAGTCAACATTCTTGAATTTCCTTATTATTCAAAATCATTTGTTAATTTCTTCATGAATGGTTCATTTCAGAATAGCTCTCACATACAGTGTAAAATTTTCAGAACTGCCCAAGTGACTTAGGAGTCCCATTTTCAGAAGTGAGCAAGCAGATTTTCAGATGTGCCTCATTTTGTGGGTGCTCACCTAAAAAGAGACCTCATTTTCAGAAACGGCTGAGCACTTGCCCTCTGAAAATCAGGCCTTTTTTTGGTGTCTTAAATTGGGTACCTGAAAATTGAGGCTACAAAAAATCACTGGACATGTTTAAAATCTTGATCTAGGTCACTTTTGAAAATGGGACTTTGACTTAAAAGTCTATGAGGCACTCTTGAAGATTTTAGTGATCGTTCACTGCAAATCCTCTTTTACATTTAAACTTCAGAATCCGTGCAGCATTGGTTAGTAAACACAAGTCACATGGTATTGGTTAGTTCCCCAGTCGGGGGTCTTAAGTGCTGCCTGACGCCATGTAGATTTGGAATTTTACAATCACGTATATCATCTGACATTTGCTTTCTGCAAACATTCAAGGTGGTAAAGCCAGACCGAGTGAATGTTTGCAGAAAGCAAATATTAAAAAGTCATGATCACAGTTAAATTTCATTTTGAATGCAAACAAACGTTCATACAAACACTTTCCTGTTGTTGACTCTGATCTAATTACAGAAGTTAGCTGGAAGGAACAAGTACTAAATTCTGTTCATGTGACTTATTGCAAAGCATGTTCTTGTCTCCCTATAGGGGTAAGTCTCCTAGTGACGTAATGGGAGAGCCATACTAGTATTCAGAGAACATCTGAGAACTGAAAGACCCAAGAGTAGAATTTTGACCCCTACCTTACATGTAAAAACTGAGCCAAGTTGCTAGCTGACATATCCACATTCTCCCAGGATGAGTATCACTGCACAGCTACCTTCCCCCATCCTCCTCCTCCCACCCCGCAATCATCTGTAGTCCTTGGTCTGCCTGAGACACATGGCAAGCTAGGGCCAATCAGAGGCCGACTCCTTGCTTTGTGTAACATTTAGGAAATACGTGTGATCATAGCTAGAATAGAAAGCTAAGATAAGGTTTCTTCCGAAAAACTAGAAAAAGGTCATTTGTGTAACACCAGCAGGATCTGGGGAGGAGGGTTAATGGTGGGAATTGGCAGGCCCCCTAGAGAGGAAGGAAGAGATCAAAGGGTTCTAAGGGAAGGAAGGGATGTTCTAACACAAATCCTGGAAATTTTTCATTCAAAATGTTTTTCAGTGAAAAACAGCGTGTGCTTCAGAACTGAGAGCTACGGTGAAAACATTTGTATCAAGCTTTCCAGTTTTTCAGCAAAAGCAACAATTTCCCCAATTACTCTTCTCTGCCACTGAATGCAAAAGCATGGCTGATTACTAGTTGTATGGTTATTCACCCCAGGTAAACGTCTTTTCTTTTTTACTCTACTCACTATCTTTTCAAAGTTACAAAGTTACAGAGCAGCAAAAGGAAAAATGAAACACGAAGTCTACACTAGAAGCGCTACATCAGCGCAGCTGCTGCAACGCAGCTGCACCATTGTAGCGTGTCTGGTGAAGACGCTCTATGCCGACAGGAGAGAGCTCTTCCATTGGCATAATAAATACACCTCCGCGAGAGGTGGGAGCTGTGTCAGCAGGAGAAGCTCTCTCACTGACATAGCACTGTCCATACCAGTGCTTAGGTAGGCATAACTACGTCACTCAAAGGGGTGGCTTATTCACACCCCTGAACAACGCAAGTTACACTGAAGTAAGTGGTAGGGTAGACCCGGCCTCAACAACTCTGCAAGGTTTCCAAAGTTGGAGAAGTGGTGAAAAGTCAAAGTGTCAGACTTTGGAATTTTCATTTCTCCTTTTGCTGCCTCGTAGCTTTTCGGTAGGTTTTGAAAAGTTTTAGCACATCAAAAGGAAAAGCGGGGGGGACAAGTCTGGACATGATTCAGTTTATTGCACTAGGTGGTAAAAAAAAGAGGGGTAGGGAGGAAAATGGAAACAAATACTAAGAATTTCTAAATTTTTAAAATTCAGAAAACTTTGAAATAATATTCCGTACATTTGGGGTGGGGGAGGAGAGCAGGAGCAAGTTTTGTTGTATTGATCCAATCCTGTACAACAACTTTGAATTTTTTTTGCAAATTCTTTTTCACATTTTCATCCAGTTCTATTAAGACTCTTGATTTTGGGCAACCTCTCCCACCCACCTGAGCATCCATCTGAATCTCCTGCTTGTCACGCAGTCTCTCAGGAGTTCAGGAATCTCAAGCAGCAAGGAACCAGAGAGAGGGTGAATGGGGGAAACTAGAAAGGAAGGGGGAAATGGTAGAGAAACTCCAAGGAGAGGAAAGCTAGGTGTGGTGAGCAGGAGACCTTTGATAGATTTGATAGTAGGAAGGTTTATTCAAATGAGGAAATGCATATTCAAATCTGCACGTTAGAATATTGCCTAATTAGCATAAAATCCCCAGAATTCCAGGTATGCTTAACTGGTATGGTTAGGAGAAGGTAACAGTACAGAAGTTGCTGGGCCCTATCATTCTTAGTGTAAGTGGAAGATCACCAAAGCCTGGGGCTCATGGACGTCAGAGGGAACAGAGACAGATGGGCGTGGGAAGGAGTTCACTAAGGCTCAACCCCCAAACAAATGCAGACTTTCTGCTTACAGTAAAATGGAGATATCGGAGTTAACTCAGCTATAGTTGGCTTCTCACCCTGGCTAATCCAGTCAACAAATTCTTTAGATGTGACCTCTGGCCTCCTGCTACATTATTTATTCCACATTGCATTGGGTTGTATTGCCATCAGGTAGCATGAGGTAAGACATTGTTTCAACGTGTCAGAAGACACGTACCCACTTGCGCCTCCTAGTGCAGTTAAATTGTTGAATTATCCATGGCATGCCAAGCATCAAGGACTACTTTTCTCCTTTTATTGGGCTCTTAAATGAGCTAACCTGAAACCACTCCTTTGGATTGCTTTCCTGAGCCCTGCAGCCAGGGCAGGCTGCCCAGGCTCCCAGAGGCAACAGCCCACATGTTAATCCTTCTGTGGCTTTTGGTTTGATTTCTTAGAAGAAAGAAATCCACAGGCTGCCCTCATACACACCAGTAAGAGGCTACGAGTGCCTACATGCACGTTGTGAAATTCTAAGGGGCCTTGAAAGAAACAGCCCATTGGAGCTTAAAAAATATAGCACACGTTTACATGTTTCCTCTCCAGTAACCACATGTGCAACTTAAAAGGGGCAGGGCAGGAGCGGGGGGGGGGGATAGAGGGAGAAAGAGAACAAGTTAGCAAGCAGCTGTAGATGCAATTAAAGTTACTAAATAGATTCTCAAGTGCCATTCCTAAGTGGTTTCACCAATACTCACAGTTGCTGGCACACCATCCAGTTGGCGCGCACCATGGTTTGACACCAGGATCCCATCCACACCGTGCTTCACAGCTTCTCTAGCATCATCAGCTGCAAGAAACAAAAGTCGGCCCTTCAGACATTGCAGTTAATTAGGGCTGTCCATGTAGCAATGACAGCGTCATTCTGTTAATGAGAATCTACCCAGGGCTCTGGCTTCTAATAGCTGGGCCTGGCACCAGCCTGCAGACAGTTGTGTCCATAAATTGTGGCCTGACCAGAATTAAAGTTAGCATTTGTATCACCCAGAACATTGGAGGAGATAAGTAGCTCTGAGTAGGCAGTTATACATCTCTTCTGGTGGCTGGCATGTGCTTTCATCACACTGATCTGCAATTCATCATCCTTAAGACAATCCTGCTGCTGTGTGTTTTACTGTAGTCTGAAATTATTAATGTCATTACAGTGTGTAATCACTTCACTATGTTCAGTTGGCTTTTGATTGATTACAGAAGCTTCAGAAAGAAACAAAAAAAGTCCCATTCTCACTTCTACACATGCAGCGTGTAACTCAGAGTTGAGCTTGGGTCTGTACGTGCCATGGGTAGAATACATCCATTTGTTCCCGTTTCCTGTCGTAGCTGATTTCAGATTCACCCTAAATTAATGCCAACGTAAGAATGCTTATACGATTATGGAAAATGGATTTTATTGATTTGGGAATATCAGTTAAAATGGAAAATGAGGGTCTTCTAGAACTTAGAGGGAGGGAGGATGGTGTAATTCTAAGTCTAGTCTAAGACTTAGAATTCCAGTCTTTGCTCTGGCTCAGACTGAGTGACCTTGGTCAAGTCACTCTGGTGTTTTTGAAAATATGACCCTAAATGACTAAGCCTTCTAAGTGCCTAAGTCATTTTTGAAAATGGGATTTAGGAGCCTAAGTCTCATCAGAAGTCAATAGGACTTCGTACCTAAGTGACACAGGCACTTAGGTGTCTAAGTCACATAAATACTTCTGACCATTTTACCCAACGCTTCTTTGTGCCTCGCTCCCCCTATCTGTACAATGGGGATAATAGCACTTCCCTACCCCACAGGGCTGTTGTGAGCATAAATATAGTAAAGATAGCTCCTATGGCACTGAGGGCCATTATAAGTACTATAGATAGAATCATACTGAGTTTGACACATTAAAGTAGGTAAACATGTAAAACTATTTATAGTACTTACATGGTGCCCACTACCATAGTATCTAAGCATTCATGCACATACACAAACTAAAAAACCTTTTAATGGGATCTCAAAGTCCTTTCCACATGCTAATTACGTCCCGCAGCAGCCTCGTGACGTATGAAACATTACTGTTCACATTTTATAGATGGGTTCGCCGCATGAGCAGTCAAACAACTTACCCAAACACCAAGACAGGGGCTGAGTCAGGAACTGAAGCCAACTATCCTGACTCCAAGTGCACGGGACAATGACCCTTCCCTTATGCATGTAAATGAGCTGTGAAAATCTCTGACATTAGGCAGAACTGTGTTGCAATAATACATGGTGTACTGTACAGGATATGCACAAAGCAATACAAACTTGATTTCCACAGAAAACAACCCTCAGGGTGGGTGTGCAGCACCTAACACAACGGGATTCTGCCTCATGAATGGCATTCCTAAGTGCCACTGCAATAGTTAATAACTCAAAGCCCACTTTTGGCTGTCCAGTCTGCAGAGCAGTATGTGAAGAGAGCTGAGATGAAGGGTCCCATATACATCACTGATTTGTTTGCAGGTGGTGGAGATCTCTCGGGAAGGCAGTGTGATTTAGAGCACCCGGAACAGCACTCGGAATAGGGAAGACCTGAATGCTAATTCCTGGTTCTGTGACTGGCTTGCCATGAGACCTTGGGCTAGCCACAACATCTCCATGCTTGATTCAATTACTTACTTAATCAGGAGTTACTACAATGAGGTCAGCAGAGTTACGGTGATCGGAAACCTGCGCGAGCAAAAACACAACCCAGCCCTCTTCATCTCATTGCAAGAGTAATGTGAGAAGTAGCTACCTAAGGTCCTGGTTCTGACGTCACTGACATTGGTCTAATTCCATTGGTTTCCAGGGAGCTACACCCACTTTACACCAGCATAGGTGAGATCAGAATTAGGTCCACAAAATTCTATACCATGTAAATGCTTAATAATAGTGGTGAGATGGTCTGTAACTATGCAAGGCAGCCAGGCCTGGTGCTAATTCTCTGCCATTACCCAGGTTACACCTCTGTAACTGACTGACATCAGAAGCCCATAAAAACCATGCATCGCTGCTTTGTGTGATGGAGAAGCAGGATATAATTTTTGTTAGCTCGCACTCTCCTAGGGCCCAATCATTGAAGGCGATGAGCATTTCCTGGCCAGGATGACCACAGACCTCCAACAATGCCTACTACAAAACTCACATCTTTGCCCTAGCCTTCCCACAACCGAAAAAATAATGATGTCCAGCCCCTGCTGACCAGGAGGAAGAGACAGAGCAATATACATCTATGCGTATGCTTCATAACATTGGGAGAGACTCCCATAGCACAATGAGGCATGCCGTAGAAGACTTTAAATGAGGAAGAAAGGCAGAGAGAATGCCCTTCAACTCCCATTGAACTCGGTTGGCACGGAAAGACAGTTAGCACTTCCCAAGCCAGCCCCCAGTTAGGAAGAAGAAACCGTTTGTTTCAGCTGGTTTAGGCTCCAGTTGGGCAACTCCTCCCTATTCAGCAAATCATTGAAGCATGCATGTAATCCCCATTAAAATCCATGAGATTTCAGCATTTGCTTAAAGTTATGGTGGCCTATGTTAGAAGAATATTTTTTAAAAGATAAAGGAAAATCATGCACTCCCTAGGCCTATTCTATGAACAAATTTTTGCCTTTAATCCTACAGAAAAATCGGCGCCAATAAAGCAACATAAAAGTGTTTATTACGATCAGTAGCTGATTTAAAGAAAGGAAGCCTCACGAGAGCCTGTTGCTGAACCGTCACTGCTACAAACCTCGGAGAATTCCTTTCGCGACGATCGGCAGAGATGTTAGTCCTCTGAGCCATTTAATATCCTCCCACTTGATGGACGGATCAATCGCTTGGGCTACATAAACAGCCAGTCCACTATTTTCACCGTAGCCTTTCTCAGAGGAAAATGCCAAATTGTCGGTGTTGAAATTTTTCATTCTAACGTTACACAGAGACAAAAGAAAATTACACTGAAAAAAGAAAGATTTAAAAACCCGCATTCGCCCTGCAATGAGTTCCATGCCAGCGGATCCCTTCGCTGGTACACATCTTATGGCAGGATCGGGGGCTCATATTGCACAGTGCGATGGGGCCGGTCACCTCCCGTGAGCGCCTCCTATCGGGCGGGTGTGTGCCTGCACTCTCTCTCTCTAGCTGCGTCACTTGTGGTGACCCCTGTTAGGCTGTTAACTTCTCAAGCAGGTTTTCAGCGACTCAGCCCTCCGGCCGAGTCACACACCGTCTGTGGGTGTGTAACACAAGCCAACCCCTTCTGGGGTACACAGTCCAACAGGGCCTCTCACAGTGCCGTTAGCTATGTCTCTATCGCTAGCCCTGTCCCTGGGCTCAGTCCTTAATCAGTCCAACAGGGCCTATCCCAGTACCCTCAGTTGGTCTCTTTAGCCCTACCTCTGGGCTCGGTTCTCAACTGTCTCTCAGCCGCTTCTGGGCTAGCTTTCAATATTCCCTGCTCTGTTATAGAGCAGTGCCCCCAGGACTCCCTCCCTGGAGACTCTTCGCTCGGTAGCAAGGCTCACTGGCCCCAGCTCTTCAGCTAAAGCACTAGTTCAGTCCCCTTCTGGGGGGGTTATCAAAGTCCACAAATGCTGACCCTCTTTGGGGTCTTCAGCCCGCTCCCTGTGTAAATTCCCCTTCTTCGGGGCTTTGGCCATTCTGCCTGTGGCTGGCGGAGGGGTACCTGCTGGGCTCACGCACTACTCTGAGTCCCAACCCAGGGACCCTATAAATAGTAGCCACCTTCTGCATCCCTTTTAACTCTGTGGCTAATGTTCCCTGGGCCACTTCCCCATGGTCCCTTCACCTGTACCTTCACCCTTAGCTCAGGAATGAAGTCTTGCTGAGTCACTGCAGTCAGCAGGAGCACCTTCCTTGCTCCCCAGGTCCCTGCTGGCTGTGCTCTGTCCAGTCCTGGAACTGCTGCAACCAGCCAGGAGCACTTTCTTTGCTCCTCAGGATCCAGCCAGTAATTGGTCTGATCTGTCCAGCAGCTCCTTTTTATAGTAGCCTGATGGGCTGTGATTGGCTACCCCTGCAGCCTCTAATTGGCTGCTTCCATGCTGCCGCTCTAGGAAGCCTGGAGGAGTCACCTCTGCTGCTCCTTTTCTGGGATGGGGCATGGTAGGACTGAGAGGCCTCCAGCAGAGGGCCTCAGGGACTGATACACCCCATCACACACAGTTAGCAAAGGCACATATCCTCGCATTTAGGGTAGTATTCAATATCAACCAAAAAAAAATCGGCCAGTCATGTGTCTCATAGCTTGCATACAAAGGGCCTATGCTACTCTCATTGCAGTCAATAGCAACACTCCCCTTGCTTTTAAGGGAAGTAAGATCAGGCCCCAGTCCAACAGCAAGTCGGTGTTAGGGTCAGGAATAGAACCTATGAAGAGGAAGGATGGCCCAGTGGTTAGGACAGTGGATTCAAGTCCCTTCTTTGCCACAGGCTTCTTGTGTGACCTTGGACAAGTCACCAAGTCTCTCTGTGCCTCAGTTCCCCATCTGTACAATGGGGATAACACCACAGCCCTGCCTCCCACAGGGATGTTGTGAGGATAAATACAGTAAAGATTGTGATGAGTTCAGATACTATGGTAACGGGGCCCATATAAGTACCTAAAATACATAGATGCTCATTCTGCTGGACCAGAGCTGCTCCTTTAGGGCCTAATCCAAAACCTAATTCTCCCCTCAACCTAGTTCCTTATACAGTGGGGGTTCGGTCATCCTAAATATGTTGCCCAGGGCATTAAATGTCTCACAGCTCTGAGGGACACAGCTAGGCCGGCCAAAGGCTTTGTCTACATTAGCACTTATGTCGGTCAGGGGCGTGAAAAAAACACCCCCTGACCAACATAAGTTTCGCCAACAAAACCCGCTGTGTGGTCAGTGCTATGTCGGCGGGAGGCGCTCTCCTGCCGACATAGCTACCACCGCTGATTGGGGATGGTTTAATTATGCTGGGGGACAGCTCTCTCCCATAGGCATAGAGGGAGACCTTACAGCGGTACAGCTGTGCCACTGTAAGGTCTAAAGTGTAGACATAGCCTACGTTTTAGGTGTAGACCAGACTTTAGTTAACCCACTTACATTTCAAGAGTTAGTTTGAAGCAAGAGAGATATCAAGGGGGTTTTCCTCAGTGCAATCTTCATAGTCTGGCTCATCAGATGAGCTCACAAAGGCCTCATTAGGATTATAGTGGGAGTGGGAGTGGCAGCAATTGCTAACAATCAAGGTGGCTTAACGGTTTCCATTCAAACACCCCCCCTTCTTACAGTTGTACGTAACTTTCTGAAATGTTTACCTTTGGGACTGAGGTAATATTTTTTTATTGGACTAACTCCTCCCCTCTCCAGAAGTAGGTCCAATAAAAGATAACACCTCACCCAACTTGTCTCTGTAGTATCCTGGGACCAGCATGGCTACAACAACACTGCAGATCTTTTGGACTGAAATTTTCCTTGCATGGTCACTGCCTGAAGGTGAATATTTTTGGAAAGTTTGAGCAAATGAAGGTTCCACTGTTTTTGGAGTAAGATGAAAAGAGGCGTGTCACGTACTTCTTGTACACAGTAGGTTGCAGGGCTACTAACAGCAGGTCAGACTCTTATACCAGATATGGGCCGGCTACAGAGCTTCTTTCACTGAGAGATACACCAGAGGTGTGTCTTTCATAACCATCCTTTAAAGCACTCCTGCCTATAGCTACACTAACTCAAGTAAGGGATGTTGCACAGGGTGCCACCTAGTGGCTGAACACTATTGTACTGTTTAGCATTCCAAAACAGGCTGGGAGGATCACACTGGGCTTTGTTAAGCTCTATGCCTTGCATATGGGTATAGGAGGGTTCGCAGTCTTTAAGCCTTGCAAAGGGTTGTGAAGATTCATCATTTCATTTGTCCAACAAGCATGACATCAAATCAGTTGATTCTAGTTTCCTTCTGAAACACAAAAAAGAAATCCATGACACTCCATACCAGAAAGTATACTGTTGTTATTTGTATTGTGGTAACACCCAGAGATGCTAAGTGGTGCTCGGTGCTGTACATACACCTAGTAAGAGACAGGCGCTGCTCCAAAGAGCTCATTGTCTTAATAGACAAGAGACTTACCCAAGTCACCCAGTGGCAAAGCCAGGAATAGTACCAAGCTCTTCTGTGGCCCACTCCAATGCCCTCTCTACCAAACAACTCTGCCTTTTCAGAAACTGGGCCCATTCTCCGATGGCAGGAAGTTTCATTTTGAATTTCAATGAACAGCTCTAGGAACCAAGCAATTTTCACATGAAACCGGCTGGTTTCACTTCTCTGTTCGTACCTGAAACTAGCTGAATTTCACCTGGTTTTAGGCTTTCATTGTGCCGCTCTAATCGTAGCATTAGAAGAAAACGAGAAGGGAACAGTCTGCGTCCTCCCTCCCCTCTCCAAGTAAGATCCAGCTTTTTAGCACTTGGTTTGTGGGGTGGATAGGAAAAAAACAGAACCACGGAGCCGATTATAGCAATAACTGTTGTTTTTCTTGGACTCTGAAATGCAGATCAACGCTTGAATGAATGTTGTCTTACATACATTTCTGTGCACAATGGCACCTTGTTGTTACTCAGAAACTTTGTTGGAAGTCTGAAGCCAAGAAAAAGTTATCAGATCACTTGACGAAAGCATCATACTGGAGAATTTCACCTATGGCTCTGAAACAAAAAGCTACACGGATGTCTTTTTGTGTTTTTCATTTGAATTACACTATTTCAGTGTTTAAAACAATTCCCTGGTTTTAGAAGGTTTTACAGGGTTAATTCAGTGAAAAAGCAAATTGTCATCAAGGTAATTCCACAACTTGGGCAAAACTGTTTCAGAAATGTTCTACCCAGTCTGACCGCGCAGAGGCTCACAGGTAAGACTTGTTTCATTAGCAGTAAGTGACGCAGCAGACAGGAAGAGTTGTAGGAAACAGATCTTGGTTATGAGCACTGAGTGACTCGTGTTATGTGCTGAGAGCCAGCAATCCTGACTCAGCGCAGATTCCTCAAATCCCCCGGTGGCACACTGAACAAGGTGCCTCCTGGAACTGGATCCTTTTTCTCCAGTCCAACTCATTACACTACAATATCCAGATTTCATAGAATCACAGGACTGGAAGGGACCTCGAGAGGTCATCTAGTCCAGGCCCCTGCACTCAAGGCAGGACTAAGTATTATCTAGACCATTCCTGACAGGTGTTTGTCCATCCTGCTCTTAAAAATCCCCAATGATGGAGATTCCACAACCTCTCTAGGCAATTTATTCCAGTGCTTAACTACCCTGACAGTTAGGAAGTTTTTCCTAATGTCCAACCTAAACCGCCCTTGCTGCAATTTAAGCCCATTGCTTCTTGTCCTATCCTCAGAGGTTAAGAAGAACAATTTTTCTCCCTCCTCCTTGTAACAACCTTTTATGTACTTGTATTTGTTTGTTTTTAATCAGGAGGTGTTCCCCTTCCCCCCTCCCCACTGCTTTTAATGTTCCCACTGACACTCAAGACCATTTATCTCAGTGTTGGTCTCAAGTACACTCCTAGAGGTGGCAGGGGTGAGAGCATGACAAAGGAAGCTTGCTCAGCTCCTGAGTCATAAAGGAAAAGGTGACGCCCTTAACCTGGAAGAACCTCCTCCTCCCCTCCCTGCCCCCGAAGGGAACAACCCAAAACCACACACAACACTGCAGGAGCAGCAGCAACAGGTGCGTATGTCCTAGCTGAAAATGGACTTTCTGGAGCAGCAGGCTGGTAAGTACCTGAGGTGCGGGGGGAGCTGGAATTTGTTGCGTACGTCGTCAAAGCGCTTGCCAAGGAGTGGCGTGTCCACCGTCACAAAGATTCCCTTGTAGCCTGCTCTCTCAGCACGCTGCACGAGTGACCTGGTGACCTCCCGGTCCTTGTAGATATAAAGCTGCAGCCAGTGAAGGCCATCAGGAGCCGCCTGGGCAACTTCTTCGATGGTGGAGGTGGCCCAGGAGCTGAGCATCATCCCTGTCCCCAGCGACCTGCAAGCTGAGGAGCAGACGTTAGATTCGTGCCCGTTCTTCATAAGTGGGACCCCTTTAGAGCTGGCCACTTGGCAGGAGTCACCGGGTTAAAACAGCAGTGAAGACACGGCAGCTCTGCTTCCGATTCAGGTTAGCAGCTCAAGTTAAAGCCGGTAGGGAAGTCTGGCGTTGGACTCCAAGCGGCTAACCCAAGTTAAAAGCAGAGTTGCCGTGTCTTCACTGCGGTTGTCACCCAAATTAGCTCACTTGGACTAAGAACACGTCTTTTTTCCTGCAGTGAAAATATACACTGAATAGTGGGCACACAAAGGGTGGGAGGTAAAAGAGAGGTGACTTGCCCAAGGTCAAACAGCAGGTCAGTGGCAGAGCTGGGAATACAACCTAGGTCTCCTGCCTCCCAATCTAGTTAGACTATTAGACTGCAGTGCCTCTTGAGCCTTTTCCTCCTAGAACTTAAATATCTTGTGGGTGAAAAATCCCTCCTGTGCAGAAAGTTAGCGATAGAGTTATGCATCATTTAAAAGCTCCACATAGGGGGTCAGTGGTGCCCAGGCTGTGTGCTAGCTCTCTGCTCAGAGGGGAATTCCACCCCAGGGTGCCTGACAAACTAACTAACCTCGCACAATCATATTTTGAGACTCTAACAGGGCAATCTATCACAATGTAAAACAGAGGGAAACACACAGTAAAGCTCTAAAATATCAGATAAAGCCTGCTTTTTTCTTGGTGCACCACAGCATGCATATTTTTCATGTAAATGGGCCTCTGTCTACAAACCTCATCTCCATACTTTCCAGGCCCTAAAAAGTAGTCTTTATGACGACGTTTGATTAAATAAGGATTACAAATCTCTCAAAGTGGAATCTTATGAACAGTTTATTCAAACAAATTGGTTACACCCTCCCACAACCACTCGGCAGCCTTCAATCAGTGAAACAAGCATGCTTTGGTCTTCTATCTTGCAAGTTTTGCTACTTCATGAAGCACAGACAGAGGGACGCGTAAATTACAGAATACATGAAGCAGGATAAATATAGCTATCAGACAGGCGTTTATGATGCATCAGACTCTACTAAGCGTTTGTTTTTATTTATATTCTCCTTTTGCTTAACTCAGTAGAAGGACAACTGTATAAAGTGAACAACAACAGATGGATCTCTTGCATTTACACCGGGGTTCTCAAACTGGGGCTTAGGACCCCTCAGGGGGTCACGAGGTTATTACATGGGGGGTCGCGAGCTGTCAGCCTCCACCCTAAACTCCGCTTTGCGTCCAGCATTTATAATGGTGTTAAAAACAACTTCTTTACATATTTAATTTAAAAGGGAGGTCGCACACAGAGGCTTGTTATGTGAAAGGGGTCACCGTACAAAAGTTTGAGAACCACTGGTTTACATTGTACTAGTGAGAGAAACGATAAAGAACATTTTCACTCCCTGGCCTACCCAGAAAATTGTAAATTGCAAATCATTTATTTGAAAAACTTTGCCTCTTATTTTTTTCACAAATTAGCAGCAACCGTATAATGACTTCTGCCAATGGATCCATTGCCCAAAATTACGTGCTGAATAATTCCCGGTCTAAATGACAGGTGGTTCACAAAGCAGTTCCTTGAAAATATTTAGAAATCAAGTTGATTTGGTTGAACATGTAAGTAACCTGGTACATTTCTACAAAAACAACAAGGAGTCTGGTGGCACCTTAAAGACTAACAGATTTATTTGGGCATAAGCTTTCGTGGGCAAAAACCTCACTTCTTCACATGAAGAAGTGAGGTTTTTACCCAGGAAAGCTTATGAAGAAGTGAGGTTTTTACCCACGAAAGCTTATGCCCAAATAAATCTGTTAGTCTTTAAGGTGCCACCAGACTCGTTGTTTTTGTAGATACAGACTAACACGGCTACCCCCTGATACCTGGTACATTTCTGTCACATGATTAAATGAGAATCATTTTAACAGTTAGGTGTCTGGTTTGAATCCTCTCATATTTGAAATTCGCTTTCAGCAAATATTCTGCAATATGACCTTGACACTCACCATGTCAACAAATATTCCTACCAAAAACCTTAATGACAATATTTGTGGAAAGAAACATCTGTGCAACACTTTCATAATGTCTAAATTGAGCCAAGGTGTAAGAAAGAATCCAGATTGATTTAAGATCCTAGCTTGATTTCACGTGACTGGCAAGTCAAAGAAAAATCTTTTTACTCATGCGCTAACCAAATCATGATGGAATCTCTCAGAAATCTTCAGCTTTTCGGCCCAGATCCAGCAAAGAACTAAAGCACATGCTTTAATTTGCCATGAATGGGACTGCGCTCATGCTTAAATTTAATTGCTTAATAGTAGCATAATCAACAGTGCCGAAGCAGGCTAAGCTCATAAATACACAGACTTTAAAGTATGATAATCTAATCTGACCCTCTGCAAATTGCAGGCCAAAGTGCCACACCCACCCGCTCCTGTAGTAGGCCCATAACCTTGGGCTGAGTTAATGAAGTCCTCAAATTTTGATATAAAGACTTCAAGTTGCAAAGAATCGACTGAGATCAATGGGAGTTAGGCACCTAAATCACTTATAGTGGGATACAGAAAGTCACCTAAGTGTTTTGCAAAATCCTGGCCTGTAAATGTTGGTAACTCAGCTACAGCAGACCTGAAATCTAATAATGGCAGAGAATGTAAATAGTTTGCATTCAGATGTGTTTAGATAGTTATTCATTTACTGTTAGGGCTTGTCCACATGGTGGAGTAATGTGCTCTATGGGGGTATTGATTTCTCAAGCTCATCAACATGTTGCATATTAATTGGACCGTGTAGACTCTGCTAGCATGCTTTAATTAATGCTGCTTGAAACAATACTACATTAAAGTGCACTTGGGAACCTGTAGTGCACAGCAGAGTCTAGAAGGGCCAATTAATGCGCAACACATGAGTGCACTTTAGAAATCACCCCCCACCTCCCATAAAGTGCATTATCCTACCAGGTAGACACACCCGTAGTTGAACCTCTGTAACCCTGGTAACATAAGTGTAACTGCAAACGAGTAAATGAGACATAATCTACCCTATTACATTCATGTATATTCTGTTAATAGTAGGAGATCTTGGATATTTTTTTAATAAACATTTCAGTTCAACTATATATATGGAAATGAATTGGAAAGACCGCGTTTACATCTGGATCCAGATGAGATTTAGGTTGGGGTTTGAGTTCAGGGTTGAATCCGGGCTCAATAGTGCCAAATTGGATTAAAAAGAGCCAAATTCTCACAAAATTTCAGCCTCATCTGAACTATATATGGAAAATTAACCCCTTTTGGGTATGGACCAAATCATCATCATTCTTCCCATGCCATCCGGTGCATAACGCAGAAGCCAGATGGTGCAAACCATCCCTATTCCTGGGCTTGTTTCTCCAGCTCTTTTATATTCAGATGTAGTAAGGCTGCTCCACCCATCACTGTGCTACCGAATGTGCCTCTAGATCCGCCTCTCCATCCCTTGCACTGGGGGTCACCAAAGACGCTTGTTTAGGTTGCCTATTATTATGGGCCAAATCCAAAATCAAAACTATAGGCATCCATTTTGGATCTGTAGCGTCAAACCACACACACACACACACACACACACACACACACACACACACACACACACACACACACACACACACATTCAAAGTTGTTCGGATTCTAAGTTCCCATTTTAGCTGATCTACACTTTAAATATCTTGGCCCTTTTAAAACATTTAAAAACAATATTTTTTAGCCTTCCAAAAAACTATGATGCTTGTGGCTGTTCTAAAATAATTTCAGATACTTAAACCATTTTTGTTAACAATAGTGAAATGATCTGGTAATGGAAGAATCAGCTCCTTAAAAGTTATGTGGCCTCGTAAGCACTATTAACTTTCCTGGGAGTTACAGTCTGGGTAATGGAGAACAGACTGTTAGATGAATCCCAGGCTAACGCGATCTGAATGGCCACGAGAATAACTCCACTGATCTTAATCTTAATGATGATGTAGCATGCTGTTGAGGGAGGGGCTTGGTGTCCGCACCAGGCAGTACCTCCATGATTGAAAGGCCTGGATCTCAGCCTCCACTGTGACCAGGCCGAGAAGGGGTGCTTAGGCAGGGCTTTCTGGGCCCAGAGCTGCTCCTTAACCCTTTCCACCCCGGTGTGGGGCTTATATCACACAGCCTCCCCTTCAAGCTAGGACCCAGTGGTGGATCTTTCTCCTGCTCTCCTCCCCCATCCAGAGAGAAAAAAAATCAATGTTTGCTTGTGCCTTTCCAAGGCGGTGGAGCACCTTGGAGTTTGTCCCTTGAAGGAATAGTTTCATACTCAAATATAATGCCAGGTGTTCTTCGCTGTCTGCTTCTTGGGACAACATGGCCCCGAGGCCCACCTCTGATGCATCTGTCTGTAGGATAAATGACTTGGAAAAATCAGGGTAAAAGAGAACTGGCCCCTGGATTAGCTGGTCCTTCAAAGTCTAGAAGGCTCTGTCACATGGCTCCATCCATTGCACCTTCCTGGGTGGGGTCCTCTTTACGAGGTTCATAAGAGGGGCGGTTATTGTGGCAAAGCTAGGCACAAAACGTCTATAATAGCCAATCAGGCTGATGAAACACTGAATCTGCTTTTTGTTTGCAAGGGCTGGGCAATCAGTCAGTGCCTGGACTTTATCCAAAAGGAGGTGTAGTCAGCCCCGCCTCACTGTGTACCCAACGTATGTCACTTCTCTCTGCCCCAGGCAGCACTTGTCCAGGTTTGTGGTAAGCCCTGCATTCTTGAGAGCTTGGACGACCGCGGTGATGTGATGCAGGTGGTCCTCTCATCTGCTACTATAAATGACTATGTCATCAAAACAGGCAGCGACATACTGGTTGTGGGGTCACAGCACCTAATCCATTAGTCGCTGAAAGATTGTAGCCTCTCCATGCAGGCCGAAGGGCATTGTCATGAATGGATAGAGGCCAAAAGGTGTTGGGAAG